ATCCGCTGGTGACGGTCGGCCATGAGGGAGCTAAATCTCATGGCGTCTTTGGTTCCCGCGATGAGGTGCAAGCTTGGCCGGCCGGCGCCTCCCTGCGTTTGCTCATCCGACGCCGAGGGAGTCAGCGGCGACGATTGCGGGGGATGCGGCGTCGTTGGGGCGAAGGCGGGCTTCGCCGAGATGGGTTAGCATCAGGTATCATGTTCTCTCTGCCCTGGGTGGGCGCCAAGCACCAGGCAGCGCGTTGGCTGCCCCGTTGCGCATGGAGCGGCGTGGGCCGCGGCGCCTAGAGCGCCGCCAGGCTCGGCGGGTCAAGCCGCAGACCATCGGGGCACATTGACGCGGGGCCCGCGCCTTCATCGTGGGCCCTCGCCGGCCGCTTCGACCCCGTCGGGCCAGAGCAGTGGGCGACGCGCTGGTGGGGTGCAAGAGCGCGTGCGAGTCCTTGCTTTCGCCGTCAAGGTTGAGTAATCTCTTGGCGGCCGTCGAATTGTTCTTGCTCGCGTGAAGGGCGAGCTGAAGTGTGCGCGCGCTGTGCTCAGAGGCTGGGGGCGCTTCCGCTGCCGCGTCGTGAAACGCGCCGCGCCGCTCGGTGAGGCGCGCGGCAAGATTGGGGGCGCGTGCCTGGCGTCCGCGGGTCACGTGGGGCTAGCGCAAGGCCTGGTACTGCAGTGCAGCGCAGGATTGCGCCCGTCCGAGATTCTCGGTCTGCGCCCGCAGCGCGCCCTTCCCTCATCGCGTGCTGTTGGTGGGGGAAGCTGTTTTCCAGGCCCGATGTGTCGTGTCGGTGCAGCGGCTCAGCGGCCCCGAGTGGCAATGTTTCCTGTTCGGCCCTCTTACGGGATCGACGCTCTTCGCCGCGGCGTGCAGCTGACTCCGCGTGGCCAGCCCGCGTTTCCCTGCAGCGCCTCGCAATGTCGTGCTCTGCTCGAGCCAGCCGAAGCGGCATTGGGGCTGAAGGTGTGCCAGGCCCGCGCATTCCTCGCTGCGTCTGCGCTGCCAGCGCCCGCGCGGGGGCGCCCCCTTCGCCGAGCTTAGAGAGGGCGGCCGCTGGGTGTCCGACTCGAGCTCGCTGACGGAGATGCTCGACGCCGGGCGCGCGAGGCAGCTGCGCTGGGCCGGCGCGGGCTGGAGGGGGTGCGTGAAGCGGGAGCTGCTGGCCCCCCTGTATTGGTGACGATGGCACCGCAGGTGCGCAGCACCTTCAGCAGCGGCGTCTTGCGCGCCGCCAGCGTCGGCGAAGGGTTTGTCGCCGGCTGCGTCGCGCCCACCGCGAACTGCGTTTGTCCGACCCGATCGGGGCCCAGTCGCGCGCGTCCAGCCTGGGCTCAGGGCCCAAGGTCGTCTCGCCGGCTCCTGCCTTGCCCGCGGGACTGACGCCGCCGGGTTCATGGGCGATGGTGGGCGCCCCGTTCGGGGGCGGTGCCAGCCTGGCCACCCCCCCGTTCGCGGTGCCAGCAGCTGAGCTGCCGCCGCCGCCGCTGGGAGGTAATGCGGTGCCGAGGCGCCCGCGACTGAGCTTGGCGCGAGTGGTTTACGGGCGCCAGCCGCGTGGGCCGCGCCTGGTGGTTGTCGCCTGGGGCCGTGCTGATGCTCGCGCTCTGGGTCAGCCCGCCGTCCTTCTCGCCGACCTGGCCAACGGCGTCGGCGCGGTCATCAGTCCGTCGGGAGACTTGGCTGACGCTGGCGGGGTCATTTCGAGAGCGGCCTCGGACGACGCCGTCCTAGTTTCCGACGTGGCCGTAGCTGTGGGCAGAGGCTCGCTCTCGGTGCTCGAGTCGACGCGCGCAGGCGTCGACCTCCGTAGCGCCTCAGTGAGCGCTGCCAAGGGGCCACTTCGTGGTGCTGCGTGGCTGCGCCCGCCCGATGGCCGACGACCCGCTCCTCGAGGTGCTCGGCGTGTTGCCCGAGGGGCGCGCGTATTTGGTCCAGGTGGCCATCGGCCGCGTGCATGCGAGCATGCCGCCAGACCTTCCGCCCAGTGCGGGCCAATCCAGTCTGGGAACGGTTTGGGTCAGATGTGACGTCGCAGCTTGATGAGTTCGCGGAGAAAGTACACCGCGGCGCAGTCGATGCCATCGACCTGCAGTTGCTCCGTGAGCCCCTTCGCTCGGGCGAGAGCCCGCCCGACTCGTGCCTGCCGCTGGCCCCGTTGCCCGCGAGATTCCGCCTGGCGTGGTCGGCTCTCCAGCGGGGGCAGGCTCTGATGGGCTCCCTGGGCCGATGTCGAAGGAAGGTGGGGGCGCAAGTGGGAATGTGTCTCGGGCCCATGAGATGCCTGGTCCTCCGCGGCCCAGGCGTCGAGGGGATCCGCCCCGAAGGTATCTCAATGCTTGGGCCCGGGCTCGTCGCTCGCAGGGCCCGACGGCCGTGTCCTTGTCGGCTGAGCACAGCGGCGCCAGCGAGGTTCCCCAGAGTGCGGGTGTCAGCCCTGGTCGCAGCCCGAGTAGAAAGGCACGTCGCATGGTGTTGATTGCATGAGATGTTCATCCTGCCGCGAAAATGAAGAGCCCCTCTGCCGCGTCTCCAGGCTCCGCCTGTGGCAAGTCTTGGCTGGGCCGATTTCCGGATCGTAGAACGATGGTTGCATGTTAAAAGAGAATGCTATCATTGAGTGTGACTTAGGTGTGCAGATCTCAGTACCATTCTCCATCGTTTTGTGTAATACATATATATAATATATATTATAATATATATATATATATATATTATATATATATATATATATATTATATATATATATAATATATATATATATATATATTATATAATATATATATATATATTGGTGTGTGTATACATTATTCTTTAAGTACATCGTGATTTGGGTCTTTGGGTTTCGCACTTTGCCCTTGTCCCTCCCTGGACCTCCTGACAGGTGTCGAGAAGATCAGCCCCGAAGGTTGTTTCAATGCTTGGGCTCGGGCCCGTCGCTCGCAGGGCCCGCCGGCCGTGTCCTTGTCGGCTGAGCACAGCGGCGCTAGCGGGGTTTCCTGGGGTGTGGGTTTCAGCCCAGGTCACAGCCCCAGTTGAAAGACACACCTTATTGTGTTGATTTCATGAAATGCTCGTCTTGTTGCGAAAATGAACAGCCCCGCTACCACGTCTCATAATTATTCTGCGAGGCTCCGCCTACAGCAATTCCTGACTCGGGCGGGTCGGCGGGCCAACGTTTAGATCTTATCACGATGGACACACGCTATGATGATGATTATGGTGGCAGCGACGAAACACATAACATTGTTAGACGTCGTTTTGGCATCGGTCCACTACGGCTCGCGAGGATGGCCAGGCGGGTTAACCCGACCAGGCGGACTAAAACGACCAGGCGTGCGGGTTAAAACGGTTAGGCCAATTTCAACGGCCAGGCTGGTTAAGACAGCCACGCCAGCTAAAACGGCCAGGCTGGTTAAAACGGCCGGGGATGTCAGTGCGGCCAGGCGGTTGACGCAACCAGTCCGGTTACAACGGCCAGGCGCATGAATGTGGGCAAGCGGGTTCAAATGACCAGGCGAATTAAAACGGCCAGGCGGGTGTCAACGGCCATGCGGTTTGAAACGGCCACGCGGGTTCAAACAACCACGCGGGTTAAAACGGCCAGGCGGGTTTAAACGGCCAGGCGGGTCACAACGGCAGGGCGAGTGAAAGCGGCCAAGCGATTCAAAACTGCAAGGCGAATGAAAACGCCGTGGTGTCTGAATGCGGCCAGGTGCGTTCAAACGGCCAGGCGGGTGCAAACGACCAAGCGGGTGAAACTGGCCAAGGATGTCAGCGCGGCCAGGCGGGCTTAACATGGCCATGCCGATGAAATCGTTCATGCGGTCGTAATGGCCACGCGGCGGTTTGAAGCGGACATTCGGGTCAAAACGGCCAGGAGGGGTCAAAGGCTTAGGCGGGTTGCAAAGGCCAGGAGGGCTGAAATGGCCAGGCGGGTTAAACGGCAGCGTTTCGGTGCTTTGGAGCCTCTTGGGGGCCTCTTGGTTTGGGGGGCCTCCTGGGGGCCTGCTGGCGGTCTCGGGGGCATCTTTGGGCGGAGGGGGCGAACTATCAGTTCGAGCCCCTCTTCGGGCCCTCTTGGGGACCTCTTGGGATCGTCTTGGGCCATCTTGGGGGCCTCTTGGGCCGTCTTGGGGCCCTCTTTAGCCATCTGGGGGCCCTCTTGGGTCTTGGGGGGAGTCTTGGGCCGTCTGGGATCTTTGGGGCCTCTTGGGCCGTCTTGGAGCGTCGGATGCCCGAAAAGGCGAAATCACCAACATCAGGAACAAAAACCAATGAGACATGATTCTGGTATCTCGGGATGCTCTGGGGGGGCCTCTTGGAGACCTCCTGGGGCGTCAGGGGGGCCTCTTGGGCCGTCTGGAGGCCATCTTGAGCGTCTCGCAGCGATTTTCGGCCGACTCGGGGTGACCTTGGGCCGCCTCGAGGACCCCTTGGGGCCCTCCCTGGAGGCCCCCTCCCTCCGGGGACCCGCGAGGAGCGCCCGGGGAGCGCCCGGCGGCCCCCCGCAGAGTGCCGCGAGGGCACGCGCGGCAGAGGGCCCCGAGGGGCCTCCCTGCGCCCGTCGGGGCGGACTGCAGTCGAGACTGACTGGTAGGCCTACGTCGGGCCTGTCCCTCTGCAGGTGCAGGAGGAGTATTCCCAAATAGTCAGAAAGGGTCTGGGGACGATGTTTAGTATTTTCGACCATTTTGGGGTATGTTTTGACAATCTAAGATTTTTCGTCGAAGATCGGCCTGTAGGGGGACAGGCCCGACCTAATGGCAGGTGGACCCAGCCAGATCAAGGGCACCCTCGTGTCCTGTGGTTCGCGACCCTTGCCCTCTGCAATTCTGTGGCAATCTGGCCCTCGGGAGGGTCTCGTGTCCCCTCGCGTGTTCTCTCCAGTCAACCTCGACTATACTCAAAGTGCTCGCCTGTGGAGACGTGGTCGCAGTGTGTCACACAGTCACAGACCTTCCACTTGTGATGTTCGCTCTCGGCCACGTGTCTCCGACGCTCAGGGCCAGTGGGAGACGACCGGCTTCTGCACGGACCTGAGGTGCTGTCGTTGCTCGCCTTCTGTGGTTCCGGTCGTGTGTGAGCCTGCCCGTTTTATCAGTTGGCATGGGTCCACTCTGCATTGACTCAAACATCATGCCCGTTGTCAAGAATGTGCTGATGCACCGGATGAATAGGATGATGCTCGGTGCTGACGTTGCATGTATCTCGCACGCTCATCTCATGTGCGATGCCATGCCATTTTAGCAAACGGAGCGGTAGCGACCTGCTTGCCCAGGTGGGCCCAAGGCCCACGCCTGTCGATGTGCCTCGCCTTCCGGGACCACGGCGGGTACCGAGTGGGCATCTCGCGGGTCAGCCGCCTTGCTTGCTTGGCCAGGGCCAGCACGTCCACTGCAAGCGTTGTCAAGCACTGTCGGCAGTCACGCGATGTCCTCTGTGATCATTGTTGTATTGATTGTTTTGCCGATCGGCGCGGGCCCTCGCACCCCCCTTCCCCTCATGGAGTAGATCTTGGCTGTTTCCCCACATGTTTCGTGGGGCTCTGGTTTTCTTCCCCACATGTTTCGTGGGGTTCTGGTTTTCTTCCCTACCGCGGCGCACCCGCGTCTCCTCACCTCCCCTCTCTCTCCTTCTCACACAGCGCAGCGCAGCGCAGCACAGCACAGCACAGCACAGCACAGCACAGCACAGCACAGCACAGCACAGCACAGCACAGCACAGCACAGCACAGCACAGCACAGCACAGCACAGCACAGCAGCACAGCACAGCACAGCACAGCACAGCACAGCACAGCACAGCACAGCACAGCACAGCACAGCACAGCACAGCACAGCACAGCACAGCACCACAGCACAGCACAGCACAGCACAGCACAGCACAGCACAGCACAGCACAGCACAGCACAGCACAGCACAGCACAGCACAGCACAGCACAGCACAGCACAGCACAGCACAGCACAGCACAGCACATGCACAGCAGCGTAGGGGGTGCGTAGGGGCTGGTCTCTCACGGCGGCCGCTATCCGTGACGGTCGTCCAGGGCACAGCAGGCATGGCATATTCTCGACACCATAGGGGGTGCGCAGGGGGTGGTCTCTCACCGCGGCCGCTATCCGTGACGGTCGTCCAGGCATGGCATATTCTCGACACCATAGGGGGTGCGCAGGGGGTGGTCTCTCACCGCGGCCGCTATCCGTGACGGTCGCCAGGCACAGCAGGCATGGCATATTCTCGACACCGTAGGGTGCGCAAGGGGTGGTCTCTCACCGCGGCCGCTATCCGTGACATCGGGGCACAGCAGGCATGGCATATTCTCGACACCATAGGGGGTGCGCAGGGGGTGGTCTCTCACCGCGGCCGCTATCCGTGACGGTCGTCCAGGGCACAGCAGGCATGGCATATTCTCGACACCATAGGGGGTGCGCAGGGGGTGGTCTCTCACCGCGGCCGCTATCCGTGACGGTCGTCCAGGGCACAGCAGGCATGGCATATTTCGACACCATGGGGGTGCGCAGGGGGTGGTCTCTCACCGCGGCCGCTATCCGTGACGGTCGTCCAGGGCACAGCAGGCATGGCATATTCTCGACACCATAGGGGGTGCGCAAGGGGTGGTCTCTCACCGCGGCCGCTATCCGTGACGGTCGTCCAGGGCACAGCAGGCATGGCATATTCTCGACACCATAGGGGTGCGCAAGGGGTGGTCTCTCACCGCGGCCGCTATCCGTGACGGTCGTCCAGGGCACAGCAGGCATGGCATATTCTCGACACCATAGGGGGTGCGCAGGGGGTGGTCTCTCACCGCGGCCGCTATCCGTGACGGTCGCCCAGGCACAGCAGGCATGGCATATTCTCGACACCATAGGGGGTGCGCAAAAGGGTGGTCTCTCACCGCGGCCGCTATCCCGTGACGGTCGTCCAGGGCACAGCAGGCATGGCAATATTCTCGACATCCGTAGGGGGTGCGCAAAGGGTGGTCCTCTCACGCGCGGCCGCTTATCCGTGACGGTCGTCCCAGGGCACAGCAGGCATGGCATATTTCTCGACTCCATAGGGGGTGCGCAGGGGGTGGTCTCCTTCTCACCGCGGCCGCTATCCGTGACTGTCGCCCAGGGGCACAGCAACCTGCATGGCATATTCTAGACACCATAAGGGGTGCGCAAAGGGTGGTCTCTCACCGCGGCCGCTATCCGCGACAGTCGTCCAGGGCACAGCAGGCACGGCATGTTCTCGACAGCGTAGGGGGTGCGCAAGGGATGGTCTCTTACCGCAGCCGCTATCCGTGACGGTCGTCCAGGGCACAGCAGGCATGGCATATTCTCGACACCATAGGGGGTGCGCAAGGGGTGGTCTCTCACCGCGGCCGCTATCCGTGACGGTCGCCCAGGCACAGCAGGCATGGCATATTCTCGACACCATAGGGGGTGCGCAGGGGGTGGTCTCTCACCGCGGCCGCTATCCGTGCCGGTCGTCCAGGGCACAGCAGGCATGGCATATTCTCGACACCGTAGGGGGTGCGCAGGGGGTGGTCTCTCACCGCGGCCGCTATCCGTGACGGTCGTCCAGGGCGCAGCAGGCATGGCATATTCTCGACACCGTAGGGGGTGCGCAGGGGGTGGTCTCTCACCGCGGCCGCTATCCCGTGGCGGTCGTCCAGGGCACAGCAGGCATGGCATATTCTCGATTCCACACCCTAGGGGGGGCGCAGGGGTGTCTCTCACCACGGCCGCTATCACGTGACGGTCGCCCAGGCACAGGCAGGCGTGGCAATATTCTCGACACCATAGGGGGTGCGCAGGGGGTGGTCTCTCACCGCGGCCGCTATCCGTGACGGTCGTCCAGGGCACCAGCAGGCATTGCTTCTTCTCGACATCATAGGTGTGCGCATGGGTGGTCTCTCAACCGCGCCGCTATCCGTGACGGTCCGTCAGGGCGTGGCAGGCGTGGCATATTCTCGACACCATAGGGGGTGCGCAGGGGGTGGTCTCTCACCGCGGCCGCTATCCGTGCCGGTCGTCCAGGAAACAGCAGGCATGGCATATTCTCGACACCATAGGGGGTGCGCAGGGGGTGGTCTCTCACCGCGGCCGCTATCCGTGCCGGTCGTCCAGGGCACAGCAGGCATGGCATATTCTCGACACCATGGGGGGTGCGCAGGGGGTGGTCTCTCACCGCGGCCGCTATCCGTGCCGGTCGTCCAGGGCACAGCAGGCATGGCATATTCTCGACACCATAGGGGTGCGCAGGGGGTGGTCTCTCACCGCGGCCGCTATCCGTGACGGTCGTCCAGGGCACAGCAGACATGGCATATTCTCGACACCATGGGGGGTGCGCAGGGGGTGGTCTCTCACCGCGGCCGCTATCCGTGACGGTCGCCCAGGCACAGCAGGCATGGCATATTCTCGACACCATAGGGGGTGCGCAAGGGGTGGTCTCTCACCGCGGCCGCTATCCGTGGCAGTCGTCCAGGGCACAGCAGGCATGGCATAGCTCGACACCATGGGGTGCGCAGGGTGTGGTCCATCACTCGCGGGCCGTAATCCTTGACCGGTTTTCCAGGGCCGCAGTGCAGTGCATATTCTCGATCAACATAAGGAGTTCGCGGGTGGTGGTCTCTCACCGCGGCCGCTACTCGTGACGGCCGTCCAGGGCACAGCAGGCATGGCGCATTCTCGACACCATAGGGGGGGCGCAAGGGGTGGTCTCCCACCGCGGCCGCTATCCGTGACGGTCGTCCAGGGCACAGCAGGCATGGCATATTCTCGACACCATAAGGGGGTGCGCAGGGGGTGGTCTCTCACTGCGGCCGCTATCCGTGACGGTCGTGCAGGGCGCAGCGGTGTCGGCGGGGCAACGACCACCAACATCATTCTCACATGCTTCACTTCAGCTCTCATCACTCCAGCCATAATATAAGTATGTGGGGTTCCCCGGTAGCGTAATTCCCTGCCGCGGCGCACCCGCGTCTCCTCGCCTCCCCTCCTCCTCTTCATTCCTGTCCTCAACCCGCGGTCAACACATGCACGGCAAGTGCATGAGACACGCGTCTACATACAGCCGCACGCATGCACCAACTCGCACACGCAAGACGCAGGTTCACTGCATCATACACCCAAGACGTCTTCACAATCCGTGAGGGTCGTCCAGGGCACAACAGGCATGGCATATTCTCGACACCATAGGGGGTGCGCAGGGGGAGGTTTCTCACCGCGGCCGCTATCCGTGACGGTCGTCCAGGGCATAGCAGGCAGGGCATATTCTCGACGCCAGAGGGGGTGCGCAGGGGGTGGTCTCTCACCGCGGCCACTATCCGTGACGGCCGTCCAAGGCACAGCAGGCATGGCATATTCTCGACACCATAGGGAGTGCGCAGGGGGTGGTATCTCACCGCGGCCACTATCCGTGACGGTCGTCCAGGGCACAGCAGGCATGGCATACTCTCGACACCATAGGGGGTGCGCAGGGGTTGGTCTCTCACCGCGGCCGCTATCCGTGACGGTCGTCCAGGGCACAGCAAGCGTGGCATATTTCGGCACCATAGGGGGTGCGCAGGGGGTGGTCTCTCACCGCGGCTATCGCGGTATGCCAGTGGCACGGTCGTCTCTCAGGGGCCGCTATCCGTGACAGGCATGGCATATTCTCGACACCAGAGGGGGTGCGCAGGGGGTGGTCTCTCACCGTGGCCGCTATCCGTGACGGTCGTCCAGGGCACAGCGGGCATGGCATATTCTCGGCACCAGAGGGACCGCAGGAATGGCATACTCTCGACGCCAGAGGGGGGTGCACAGGGGCTGGTCTCTCACCGCGGCCGCTAACCGTGACGGTCGTCCAGTGCACAGCAGACATAGCATATTCTCGACACCAGAGGGTGTGCCCAGGGGGTGGTCTCTCACCGCGGCCGCTATCCGTGACGGTCGTCCAGGGCACAGCAGGCATGGCATATTCTCGACACCATAGGGGGTGCGCAGGGGGTGGTCTCTCACCGCGGCCGCTATCCGTGAGGGTCGTCCAGGGCACAGCAGGCATGGCATATTCTCGACACCATAGGGGGTGCGCAAGGGGTGGTTTCTCACCGCGGCCGCTATCCGTGACGGTCGTCCAGGGCATAGCAGGCATGGCATATTCTCGACACCAGAGGGGGTGCGCAGGGGGTGGTCTCTCACCGCGGCCGCTATCCGTGACGGTCGTCCAAGGCACAGCAGGCATGGCATATTCTCGACACCATAGGGAGTGCGCAGGGGGTGGTCTCTCACCGCGGCCGCTATCCGTGACGGTCGTCCAGGGCACAGCAGGCATGGCATATTCTCGACACCATAGGGGGTGCGCAGGGGTGCTCTCAGCGGCCGCTATCCG